CATAATGCTTTCTGTTCCAGTAAAGCTTTATAGCCCGGGAAACCCACAAAGATAGCTCTATTCTGTGCTATAAGGTAGATCTAAGTCTATTCTGGCATGTGTTTTCATGTTTATGATAGTCAACCCTTTTATATCTTTTAAAAATAATTTAAGCACATGATAGCTTTGTTGATTCATTATGGGATAATATCTTTTTGAAAGAAATAGGAGAATTAAGTGAAAAACATGCTGAGTCATAGATTATAATGTCACAGATTTAGAGCTGAGTCCCTGTGTGTCTGTTTATCTGATATGATTGTTATTATATTCTTATGTTCATTTTGCAGATGATGGTGTTGGAGATTGAAGAACTACAAATGCCCGGTACCAGAATGCATTGCTGATTTAGGGACATGCATCCAGGCCCTCCAACTTCGACTCAGGGCTTTACTACGAGCAGTACAAAAATTTCATGGCTGAAGTTTCCTTAATTATTTAAAAGGTATACACACAACTACATTCTTCAGATCTCCTTTGATGGTGGTTCATGGATTTTTTTAGTAACTGCCAGAGGGAGGTGTAAGAGTAAACTCTCATCAGAAATAGGAGGTCTAAATAGGGCCTGACACTGTATGAGAGGACGGACATGTAGCTTAAAAGGCAATGTGGTTGTAATCCCCACCCAGCCTAATATTCCAAACCATACAAACCTGTATGCCATTCCCTGAGTCCATTATCATGTTATTATGTAATCAATTAATAATATTAGTTACATTTGATTGTATGCTTCAGGATACCACCTGGTTGACATACTAGATAGAATTTGGGAGTACAAATAAGATTTAGAAATATTTGTTAGGTTTGTATCTAACTTTATAACTGTAAACCTATGAATTTAGTGAGCATGAGAAAATTGCATATGAAACAACTGCAAGTTTTAATGTATACCTAATGAGTCAAGTGTATTTTACCACCTATAAACACATGAAAGTAATTTTTCCAAAGTATTGAAAAAATTAAAATGAGTGATCTGTTAAATTTGAGATAGCAAAAAAGACTGCCCCAATTTAATGATTGGCACATGAGTCCTTAAGCAACGAATTTATAGATTTAGAAAAAAATTGAAGAACATAGCTTGGCAAGTAAAAATTAAAGACAGAATTGATGGTCATACCCGTGTAGTGATGAGTTGGATGTTATAAAAGAAAACAAAAATCTCTCGCTAAGCTGATTCAGAAAGCAAGAAAGCTGTTTCG